ATCTACCTATATCTATTTAGCTATCTATCTATCTATCTATCTAGCTATCTATCTAGCTACCTCTTTATCTATCTAGCTAGCTATCTATCTATCTAGCTATCTATCTAGCCATCTATCTATCTAGCTATCTATCTAGCCATCTATCTATCGAGGTATCTAGCTATCTATCTCTCTAGCTATCTACCTATCTAGCTCGCTATCTATCTATCATTATCTATCTAGCTATCTTTCTACCAAGCTATCTATCTATCCAGCTATCTATCTATCTATCTATCTATCTATCTATCTATCTAATCTATCTAATCTATCTAATCTATCTAATCTATCTACTCTATCTACTCTATCTAATCTATCTAATCTATCTATATAATCTATCTAATCTATCTAATCTATCTAATCTATCTAATCTATCTAATCTATCTAATCTATCTAATCTATCTAATCTATCTAATCTATCTATCTAATCTATCTAATCTATCTAATCTATCTAATCTATCTAATCTATCTAATCTATCTAATCTATCTAATCTATCTAATCTATCTAATCTATCTAATCTATCTAAACTATCTAAATCTATCTAATTCTATCTATCTCTATCTATCTATCTATCTATCTATCTATCTATCTATCTATCTATCTATCACATGTAATCCTGTCAGCTTTCCAGAGAAGGTTAGTTCGCAAAAACCAACTAATGTAACTTGGGTTTAAGTTTAAATAAAAAAAAGCGGGAGGGGGGGATTGGGGGGAGGGCGCAGCGCCTCCCCCCAAAGCAGAATGCAAGCACCTCTTCTCACATGTTACGTTGCTAGTTTTCAAGAGAAGGTTGGTCATGTGATACTCAGGGATGTAAATACTGTGCAAAATGCATCTTACATGAAAATCAAGTATTTAAAGCAGGCAAAGCAAAAAAAAAAAGCAGAGAAGCAAAAAAGCAGAGAAGCAAAGAAACAGGAAACGCACAAAAGCAAAACAGCAGAAAGGCAAAGAAGCAGGAAAAGCAGAAAAGCAGAGAAGCAGGAAAAGCAGGAAAAGCAGAGAAGCAAAGAAACAGGAAAAACAGAAAAGCAAAAAAGCAGAAAAGCAGAGAAGCAGAGAAGCAGGAGAAGCAGAAAAGCAAAAAAGCAGAAAAGGCGAGAAGCAGGAGAAGCAGAAAAGCAAAAAAGCAGAAAAGCAGAGAAGCAGGAAAAGCAGGAAAATCAGGAAAAGCATGGAAAAGCAGGAAAGCAGAGAAGCAGGAAAAGCAGGAAAAGCAGGAAAAGCAGAGAAGCAGGAATCCAAAAATAATTCCTAAACCTGATCAAAAAAAAAATCCTAAAATAATTAGCCCTCCAAAGAAAAATGCCAACCTTCAAAAAAAAACGGTGCAACCTCAAAAAACGAGATAAGAATCTATTCCCATCTCGGGCTGGATCAAAACCTCAAAAAGTCCATCTCTGTGGCCCCTACACAGGCCGACGCCTCTACGAGCCCATCTAAATTTCCTCCGGTGGGAAACTGCGGGCGGTCGCCCAAATGGCCCATCGGTTTTGCTCTGCGCCACGTTGTGACAAGTTCATTTTGGTAGGATGAAAAAATGCCACCCAAATAGATGCCTTTTATGACAAAGTTATCTTTTTTTTGACTCTTTGTTTGACATCATGCCCGCAAAATGGATGCCTTTTATGTGAAAGGTGTTGTAAACTTTGATTTTCTGTTTGATACAATGACCCGAAATGTATGTTTTTGTGTCGTGTTCAATGTGACACCCCTTTTTTGGTTAGGGCAAAGTGCCCCCGAAATGGAGGCCTTTCACAACAGATGTTCTCAATGTGTCATTCTTTCTTTGTTAAAGCAAAATGTCCCCGAAATGGATGATCCACTGTCATAGACTAGACTGGTTGGTCTACAATATTGATTCTAATTATTGGATATTATTAGGGCTGCAGAGCAGAGCGTGATGGCCAGCCTTTCGTCCCTTTTCAAAGTTCTGAAGTGGGACAGACGTGTGTGAAGTATTTGATGTATCACTATATCACCAAATCATCATGTCATCACTGTATTGCTCTGATAGTCCAAAATGTTTGTCAAATCTGCTTGATTGCCCCTGAATTCCTCAGTGTGTGCGTCAATCAATGTGAATCCAACTGGCTTCGTCAGTAGATTGCTTAGATGATTGTCTATCGGGGATTTGCAATGGATGCACTTGCAGGGTGCAAGCTTCTGTCAGGCTGCTTAAAATGCTGCGGCGCATCGTCTGCAAAAGTGAAGAACGTTTCTGACTATCGCAGTGTTGGCAACTGTCTTCCTGAAGTGATGTTCTTCCTTGACTCTTGGAAGCTACTCCAATTTTTTCGGATCTGAATATCTCCGACCGCATCAAAAACATTTTGTTGCAACAAAGATGGACATTTTTTTTTTGCATCTTTTTGCTCCAGTGCGCTTGGATGAAGCGGCTGAAGCATCCCAATGGATCCACCATTTCAATGTCTGCCATTTTGGCAGATTCAATCCCCATGGCTGGGCAGAAACCCCCATGTTTTCCAAGTTGTCAGCAACTCATGTTGTCAGCGTCGCCCAGAGCACCACCCAGGCTTTGGCCAGCATGGACAGTCACAGCCCAAAGATGCCCAAAGCATGTTGAACGATGGAGCCAACCATCCCAAGTATGGATGGAAGATGCAAAATATGACTCAAACCACTAACCAGTTGACAATTGCAGCGTTTTTTCGCCCTACTCGAATAGACAGGAAGAAAAATACCCCTCCAATTTAAAGGGTGGTTAGCCACCTCAAAAACGAGATAAGACTGTCAGACTCGAGTGATCTGTTCCCATACATTTGGGACTGGATCGAACAGCCGAACAAGTCGATCTTTGTGGCCTCTACACAGGCGCCTCCATGAACGCATCTGAGTTTCCTCCTGGTGGCGTGAAACTGCTGGGGTCGTGCAGAGTTTTTGCTTTCCGACTCGTTGCAGAAACTTGGTCGCTTGCTTCGGTGGAAGGCGATCTTTTCTTGTCGTGAAAATATCAAAATCAAATAACTGTGTGTCCTATCGGACACGCTGGTAACATGTACAAGCTGCCTAAGCAAAATTTATATAAAGTTTTAGTCACTGGCCCTGATAAATTGCCCAAAATAATAGTTTTGGGAACCTATCGATTATGGGTCATAAAAGGTGGTCCTAAATAGGTTCCATATCTCCAGGCTGAGGCTGCATTTTGGAATGATTTTGCAGGGTCGGGATATACAGCCAGAGCCAAGTGAAAAAGTCAGAAGCCTTGAAAATAATTTTGCATCCCAGAAAACAAGGCACGAGCTCATTCGGGGGGGCCTTTGTTTCACAAGGCAGGCGGGCATTTTGCATGCAGAATGTCTCTGTCAAAAGGGTTTTCAAAGTTCAGAGCGTCTTTTCCAAAACTTGGACGAACAAAACAAGGGGTTGACATTGAGAACATCTGCCATCATCTATTTCAGGGGCAATATGTCAAACAAAAGGATTCAATGTTGACAATCTCTTTGACAGAAAAGGCATCCATGTGGGGAGCATCGTGTGAAACAAGAAAAAGTTTCGCATTAAGAACAGCTGTCACAAAAGGCATCCATTTCGGGGGCATTTTACTTTAAAAGAATTGGCTTCACACGGAGAACATCTTTCATAAAGGCATCCATTTTGGGGGCATTGTGTCAAACAAAAAAGGTTCAATGTTGACAACATCTTTGACATGAAAGGCATTGGTTTTGGGGGCATCAGGTTTCAACAAAAAATAGGTTTCACGCTGAGAATTAAAAAGTCTTTGCTGAAAGGCATCCATTTCGAGGGCATTTTGCTTTAAAAGAACTGGCTTCACATTGAGACCATCTTTCATAAAGGCATCCATTTTGGGGGCATTGTGTCAAACAAAAAAGGTTCAATGTTGACAACATCTTTGACATGAAAGGCATTGGTTTTGGGGGCATCAGGTTTCAACAAAAAATAGGTTTCACGCTGAGAATTAAAAAGTCTTTGCTGAAAGGCATCCATTTCAAGGGCATTATTGTGAGTTTGGTGCCACCAAACTGATCCATTTACCACTTTGCCAGGTTGGAACCACCACATGCAGCTGCAGAACCACATTGGGCGTTCTCGACGCGGCCTCTTTGGCTTTTACGTGTCTTGCCTCTGGACAACGATTCCAGAGGGCCTTCTTTTGAGCCTAGCATTCGAAGCTACCCATGACAAAACAGATAGCACTCCTGCTTTGCATTTCGTGTTTGCACTTAGAGCGGCATAACACAACAAGATATCTTTCCATATCTTCGCATTGGTAGCGGAGCCGGCAAAGATCCGGCTCCAGCCCGCGCTGCCATGTCGACTTCTCCGGCGAGAAGAGCTGCTGGCGGCGGTGCTGGATCATCTCCTACCTCCCCAACCGAAACTTCTCCATATGTCAAGGACTCCTTCGTGCCGAGGTTTGACAATACCATCAGCGGCTACAAGGAGTGGCGGAAAAGGGTTCAACTGTATGCCCGTAGGCTTGAGCTGCAAGGTCGTTCAAAAGAAGTTGCCATGAATGTTTTGGCAGTACTTGAAGGTTCCAGTTGGACGCAATGTGAAGACATAGACCTCAAGGAACTGGAAGCCGAAAACGGCCTAGATGTGTTGCTGCGACGGTTGGATTCGAAATGGAAATATGATGAAAGGGTTGAGCTGGGTTCCATATTTGACACCTTTTTCTTCAAGGTTCAGCGAAAGCCCAACCAATCACTTTTGGGCTATGTGACTGATTTTCACCAAGCCCTACGCGATGTTCAAAGACTGAAGGTTGATCTTCCTGAGGAAATCACTGGATGGCTCATGTTGCGCAGAGCAGCCTTGACCAAGGACCAACAACACCTTGTGCAGTCCCAGGTTGGCAAAACGTTGACACTGGGAAACGTGGAGCAAAGCCTTTTTCTGGTTTTTGGTCAAGACTTCAAGCAGTCCAATCATCAAAGTCACCGTGGAAAGTCATTCCCCAAAGGGAAGGGTCGTTCCAATGTGCACCATGCAGAAGATGATGAACATGAGTTCCAAGATGATTGGAATGAAACCTACATGGATACCTACTACGAAAATGATGATTGATCAATACTATGAATGTGATGAAGAATGGGATGAAACATATTTTGGTTCACAAGTTGACTGGTCTCCCACTGCCTCTGAGTGGAATCCGAGCGAAGCTGCCGTCGAAGACGAGTCGCTCTTCGATGTGGAGGAGTTCGATTCCGTTTACTCTGCATATGCCGATGCCAAGAGCCGACTTGCACAGTTGCGCCAAAGCCGTGGCTTCTACCCGGTTGTGGCACTGGTGGACGGCAAGGGTTCCAGCATGTCTCAAGGTGGGGGTAGTTCAAAGTCAAAAGGTCAAAGTAAGAAAGGATCCAAACAGTCACCATATCCACCAAAGGGAAAAGGTATCAAACCAAGAGGAAAAGCCATAGCGGGGGATCTAGTTTGTTTGAGATGTGGCAAGACTGGCCACAAAGCTGCAAACTGCAAGAGCTCTTCTGCTGCTGCCTCTGGTGCCTCCTCTCCTGCAAAGAAGCGCCCCATCGACCTTGATCCGATGGTGAACATGGTCTTCCAAGCTTCTGGCGATGAGTTCCATGAGATTGAGGAGACCTACATGCAAGGCGAATCTGTGGTGCGTGCTGGTGGATGGGTGACAAAGGAGCCCGACATGTGCATCCAAGACCAAGGAGCCTCTTCTTTCCTTGCTGGCAGCGAGTACATCTTGCGATATCTGAAATGGTTGGAAGTTCAGGGATACCCCATGAACACCATCTCCTTCAAGAAGTGCAACAAATCTTTTCGTTTTGGCGGCGATGCTGACGGGCACGCCCGCTGGATGGTTGAGTTGCCCGTGCACTTCGCCAACATTTCAGGTCGAATGCAGTGCTTCATCGTGTTCGGAGCCACCCCAATGTTGCTTGGACGCCCAGTTCTTGAACAACTTGGTGCTGTAGTGGATTTTGGAAGTGGCAAGATGCGCATCCTTGGTGGCCGATGGACCGAGATCGAACGTGGCAAGCAGGATGCGATGCTTCTGCGACTTGCTGCAACCTTCAACTCCATCGAGGACTTCGAGAACCCGCAGTTCGACCTCAGAGCCAAGGATGATGACCGCGATGATGCATGCTCTCTGCAAGACTTTTTGCAAGATCTACGTGCTGCTGAGCGCTACGAGGAAATGATCTCCGAGGTCCAATTCACCGACGACGCCTCTGAGAATGAGTTCGTTGATGCTGAGACCTATGTGAATGTGGATGAGCAGGTCCCTGAGGAGCACTTTCATGCCCATGAGCTGACCGAACGCACTCAATGCTCAATGTCGAAGACCTGGTCATGGATTCAGGGTCAACTGGTTGAAACCTCCAAGAAAGCAGCCCAACTTGCCTATGAAGCTCGATGCCAACCTCACCCACGAAAGAAGCTCATTTGGGAAGACTACAGTGGCACTGGACTTTTAGGCGAACAAGCTGAACGCCTTGGTGCCGATGTGATGCGTTTTGGACTCAACAATGGATGGGACTTCTCCAAATTGGCACATCGAAAACGTTTGATGGAACTGGCCTATGAGCTTGAGCCGGATGAGATCTACATGTCTCCCAAGTGCACACTTTGGTCTCCCATGCAGGCCATCAACATGCGTTGTGAAGCTGATTGGGATGAACTTTGGGAGCGTCGTGACTTCGACCATGAGATCCATCTGAAGTTTTGCAAGAAGCTGTACTGGTTTCAGGTGAAACGTGGAGCTCATGCACACATTGAACATCCACACCGCAGTGCTGCCTGGGAAACACCAGCCTTTGCCAAACTTCCAGGTGAACGCACAACCTTTGATCAATGTGAATATGGTTCCACTACCACAGTTGATGATGATGAAGTACCAATCATGAAAACCACCTCCATTCAGACCACAAAACGTGCGATGTGTCGCATCATGTCCAAACGATGCTCAGGCAACCATCAACATGCCCGACTTGAAGGTGGAAGCCGTTGCAAGAAGGCTGAGAATTACCAATGCGAGCTTGCCTGGAATTTAGCTCGTGCCCTTCTTGAAGATGAGGGTTTGTCGGAACAGGCCTATGCTGCCCAACAAGACGCCGAAGCTCAAGAGCTGACTGGAGTTCTTCGAAAACTTGGCACAAAGCATGGCTCTGAAGCGGTGCGCATTGCCTACCGCCTCCATCGAAACCTTGGGCATCCGAGAAAGGACACTTTGGTCCGCATGCTGCAGGCCAAGAATGCAGACCCAAAGGTCATCGCTGCAGCCGAAGCCCTTGAGTGCCCCTACTGCAACAAGTTTTCTTCCAGGAAGCAATCAGCTCCAGCTCATGCCGAGCGTCCCATGGACTTCAATGAGCAGCTTCAGGCCGACACCTTGTGGTTTGATTTGAGCTCAGTTGAGCCTGATGCCCCTTCTGACAAAGCTTCCAAGCGGAAGATTGGCATGTTGGTCATGGTTGATTCCGCAACTCGCTTCATGGCTGTGCGAACCATTCCTGATGAATCAAGCAACTCCCTCATGAAAGCAGTTGAACGTGAATGGATTCGCTACTTTGGCCCTCCGAAGCAGCTGAGCGTTGATGAATGGTCTGGATGGGGCAGTGACGCTATGATGCAGTGGTCTGGTGACCACGACATAGAGATGAAGATTTCCCTTGGGCAAAGTCATTCACGAACTTCAATTGTGGAGCGAAGACATCAACTCCTTCGCAAAGCACTTTCCATCTTCATGACAGAAAATGGACTACGTGGCCTGGATGGACTTCACACGGCCTTGAACTGGACAGTGCCCACATTGAATCAATGCACCTTTGTGAATGGATTTACTCCTATGCAACTTGCCCTGGGAAAACAACCGAACATGCCTGGACTCATCTCTGACGAGCGCACTGGTCCAATTCAACTTCAACAAACTGAACAAGATCGACTACGACGACGACTTGAACTCAAAGCAAGTGTGCAAAATGCATGTGCTGTTGCGGAGATTGACGTCAAACTTCGACGTGCTCTACTCCGACGCTTTTCAGGTGCTGATGAAGATCTACAGCCAGGTGAACGATGTCTTTACTGGCGAGAAGTTGGCAATCGATTCCACACGGTTCAGTGGAAAGGCCCTGCAACGGTCGTTGCTGTCCAACGAGACCCAGACACTGGCACCATTGACACCTATTGGATTGCCCACGGCACTGTGCTCATCCGTGCCGGACGTCAACATGTTCGACGACTTGTTGGCCAAGAAGGTCTTGTCAATGGAGCTCAACGTGCTGAACAAGCCATCGCTGGTCTCCGTCAACGTCGAGTTGTCCGAACAGCCGACTTGCGGCGCATCAACAAGCACACCTTGGAGGAGCTTGAGGGTGAGATCTCTGATGGAATTTTTGATGAGCCCTCTCCAAAGAAAGCCAAGACCAACCATCCTCCTGATCAAGGTGAGCAAGATGCCCCGGCAGCACGACCTGAATCAGTGCGATCACTTTCCTATGAGCCAACTGAACCCATCGATGATTTGCCAAAAGATCCTGCTGAAGATCCACCTCTACCTGTGGCTGATCCGTCTTCTGGCTTGGATTTGCCAACGGATCCCGGCTTGGACTTGCCGGAAGAGTCAAGGCGCTTGGATTCGGATTTGCGCGACTCTGTAGAGCCACAATCCTCACAGCAAGCTGAAGCAACAGCAGCACCCTCCAGCGGAGAGGCAGGTCCTGGACTTATGCCTGAACCTCCTCCACAAGATGTTCCAATCCCTGACGGTGATGACAGTGAAGCTGATCAGCCCACCATTGCAGCTGACAACACCGTCACCCAATCTTCAATGCCTGAGGCACCTCCACAACTTCCTGGACTTTCCTTTGCTGAACGCCGACGGCAACATGAACGAAGTGAGACTTCTTGGATGCGATCTCCATTGTGGCCACTGGTGCATGATCACCCTGATCCTCAAAGCCCTGGCAATTCAAAGCGTGCCAAGCACCGTGAATCGGTCAACATCGCTGTCGAGCTCTTTCCAAATGGCTGTGAAGGCTCAACCAACCTTCCAGCTGGATGGCACTATGATCCGAAAACCCATGAGATCTACCTTGGTTCCACAGCAGATTTTTGGAGCTTTGAAGATGGATTTTTGGTTAGAAACCATGTTTGGTCAAGGGATTGCACTTTTCATACAACAGATTTTCCCTTGCCTGCCGAGAAGCTCCAGACCACAAATGGCCTGACAATGAGACGCAACAGCCGCATTATCCTGGTCAACGAGGAGCAGCCTGCCCCTGCGGGTGACGAACCATGGTTTGGAAAGACCTTGTACCCACTGACCAAAGATGCTGCAGCTGAGTTTGGCCAAAACTACGTTGGCGACCTGTCCAAGAAGTTCAACAACAAAACCATCCGAAGCCGTGGCCATATCTGGTCTGCCCAAGCTGCGCCCAAGAAGAAGAACGTCAAGGAGTCAGCTGACCTGAAGGAAAGCCGAATGAGTCTTGAAGACCGCCTGGCGTTCATCGAGGGCAAGAAAGCTGAGTTGGCCTCCATTTTTGAGAATCAAGTTTGGGAGATTGAGCTCCATCCTGAGAAGGTCGATTGGAACCGCGTGATGAAAGCACGGTTTGTGCTGAAGTGGTCTGCCGACAACAATGGCAACCCACGCGCAAAAGCACGTTTGGTTCTTCAAGGATTTTCTGATCCAGATCTACTACGAGGAGAGCTTGACACATCTTCCCCTACTTTGAGCCGATCCTCACGGCAGATTCTCTTGGCCATTGCAACTTGCAAATCCTGGCTTATTTTCATTTCTGATGTTGCGACAGCATTTCTTCAAGGCGATCCACAGAAGCGAATTTTGTGGGCCAGAATTCCCAAAGACGCTTGCCAGCTGATTGGTGTGCCAGCCGGTACACTGATGCGACTTCTCAAACCCATTTACGGGCAAGCCGATGCTCCAAGAAGATGGTTTCAAGTTGCCCGCAGAAGATTGATTGCTGCAGGGTACCAACCACATCCACTAGATCAATGCCTTTATTGCCTTTTTCATGGTGATCAATTGGTTTCAATGATCGGCATTCATGTCGATGACCTCATCGGTGCTGGACTTGAATCCGATGAAGTCTACCAGAAGGCAAAACAGGCTCTTCATGAGAGTTTCAACTTCAAACATTGGACTGAAGGAAAAGAAACTGGTCAACTGCAGTTTTGCGGTTGTGACCTTGAGGCTGATGGAAACGGTGGCTGGTGGTTGCGCCAACAGGCGTACGTCCAAAAGATCAAACCTTTGACCTTGAGCGATTCAGATGAGAATCGTGAATTGACTGTCAAAGAACTGACAATGCTCCGTGGACTTCTAGGAGCGCTTCAATGGCCAGCAACCCAGACTTCACCGCACCTCAGTGCAAGAGTGAGTCTTTTGTGTGGCGAAGTGAGCGCCGCAGCAGTTTCCACAGCTACCCAAGCAAACAAGCTGCTTAGATTTGCCAAAGCCAACAGCGACGTTGGACTCCAATTTTCTGACCTTGGCCAGCTACATGAGCTTTGCATGATAGCCTTGAGTGATGCAGCCTGGGGCGTTCGGAAGAACCATGAGTCCCAAGGCGGCTACTTTGTTTTGCTGATGAATGTGAAAGCACTGCAAGGTCAATTGGACCAACCCTACGTTGTTTTGGACTGGCGAAGCTACAAGCTCCCCAGAATCAGCCGCAGTAGCCTCAACTCTGAAGCACAAGCATGCGCTGGTGCAATGGATGCTCTTGAGTATCTCCTGATCTTCTGGCATGGATGTGTGACTCCTGGCTTTGAGTTGCGCCATTTGGACGTCCACGACATCCAAATGCAGTCAGCCTTGGTGGTCGATGCGAAGGCACTCTACGATAGCCTGAAAGTTGAAGTTCCACAGATGCAAGGCGACCGAAGATCCAAGATTGAGGTCATGGTTGTGAAACAGAAAATGGATGAGATGAAAACGAAACTGAAATGGGTTTCATCAGAGACCCAACTGGCAGACGGTGTTGCCAAAATTGCAGCACGGCAATTGCTTGCTGACCGCTTACGGTCCCATGTCTTCTCCCTGCACTCTGACCAGAGCTTCCAAGCAGCAAAGAAGAAAACTCTTGCTGAACGACAAGCTTCAGCTAGACGCAATGCGATTGGTCGTTTGCAGAAAGGCATTGGTTTTGCAGTGCTGACAAATCAACTTGAGCCAGTTCGAGGTGATGATTTTGCAGAAGATTCTTTTTCCTGCTACAACATCATTTTCATCTTCACCTTCCTCACCATGTTTGTGGCGACAGTTTTTCTGGCATGGCAGTGTTTAGAAAGAATGACAAGGTCCCTGCCGAGACCTATGGCTGTACCTAGGTTTCAAACCTCAAGAATGCTCTGGTCACTGATGAGACCTTTTGCGTTCCTATGGAATCAACAAGCTGCGCTGGAAGATGTATCAACCCAAACCGAAAGTGGACGAGATCAAACCATTCACCTTTTGAACTGCAGAGTTCAGATGCTGCAACAGCAGGTGAACGACAAAGACGAAAGAATCCAAGATCTTGAAAGTTTGGTTCCCTACTACGAGCAAGATGTGACATCAACCTCTTTGTTTGTGAGCCGAAATGGAGCACGATACCATTTGCATCGTGATTGCCGAGCGCTTTTACAAGCGAATCAAACCGGCATACGAGATTTGAAATGCTGCAGCCAATGCATTCAGACGTTGCGTGACAACAGCAACCTGGGTGGACCGTGGTGAACTTTTCTTTCTTCTCCACCGGTGTGAGTTTGGTGCCACCAAACTGATCCATTTACCACTTTGCCAGGTTGGAACCACCACATGCAGCTGCAGAACCACATTGGGCGTTCTCGACGCGGCCTCTTTGGCTTTTACGTGTCTTGCCTCTGGACAACGATTCCAGAGGGCCTTCTTTTGAGCCTAGCATTCGAAGCTACGCATGACAAAACAGATAGCACTCCTGCTTTGCATTTCGTGTTTGCACTTAGAGCGGCATAACACAACAAGATATCTTTACATATCTTCGCAATTATGCTTTAAAAGAACTGGCTTCACATTGAGACCATCTTTCATAAAGGCATCCATTTTGGGGGCGTTGTGTCAAAAAAAAGGTTCAATGTTGACAACATCTTTGACATGAAAGGCATTGGTTTTGGGGGAGGTTTCAACAAAAAATAGGTTTCACGCTGAGAATTAAAAAGTCTTTGCTGAAAGGCATCCATTTCGGGCGCATTTCGCTTAAAAGAACTGGCTTCACATTGAGACCATCTTTCATAAAGGCATCCATTTTGGGGGCATTGTGTCAAACAAAAAAGGTTCAATGTTGACAACATCTTTGACATGAAAGGCATTGGTTTTGGGGGCATCAGGTTTCAACAAAAAATAAGTTTCACGCTGTGAATTAAAAAGTGCTTGCTGAAAAGGCATCCATTTCGGGCGTTTTGCTTTAAAAGAACTGGCTTCACATTGAGACCATCTTTCATAAAGGCATCCATTTTGGGGGGCATTGTGTCAAACAAAAAAGGTTCAATGTTGACAACATCTTTGACATGAAAGGCATTGGTTTTGGGGGCATCAGGTTTCAACAAAAAATAGGTTTCACGCTGAGAATTAAAAAGTCTTTGCTAAAAGGCATCCATTTCGAGGGCATTATGCTTTAAAAGAACTGGCTTCACATTGAGACCATCTTTCATAAAGGCATCCATTTTGGGGGCATTGTGTCAAAAAAAAGGTTCAATGTTGACAACATCTTTGACATGAAAGGCATTCGTTTGGGGGGCATCAGGTTTCAACAAAAAATAGGTTTCACGCTGAGAATTAAAAAGTCTTTGCTGAAAGGCATCCATTTCGGGCGCATTTCGCTTAAAAGAACTGGCTTCACATTGAGACCATCTTTCATAAAGGCATCCATTTTGGGGGCATTGTGTCAAACAAAAAAGGTTCAATGTTGACAACATCTTTGACATGAAAGGCATTGGTTTTGGGGGCATCAGGTTTCAACAAAAAATAAGTTTCACGCTGAGAATTAAAAAGTGCTTGCTGAAAAGGCATCCATTTCGGGCGTTTTGCTTTAAAAGAACTGGCTTCACATTGAGACCATCTTTCATAAAGGCATCCATTTTGGGGGCATTGTGTCAAACAAAAAAGGTTCAATGTTGACAACATCTTTGACATGAAAGGCATTGGTTTTGGGGGCATCAGGTTTCAACAAAAAATAGGTTTCACGCTGAGAATTAAAAAGTCTTTGCTGAAAGGCATCCATTTCGGGGCATTTTGCTTTAAAAGAACTGGCTTCACATTGAGACCATCTTTCATAAAGGCATCCATTTTGGGGGCATTGTGTCAAACAAAAAAGGTTCAATGTTGACAACATCTTTGACATGAAAGGCATTGGTTTTGGGGGCATCAGGTTTCAACAAAAAATAGGTTTCACGCTGAGAATTAAAAAGTCTTTGCTGAAAGGCATCCATTTCGAGGGCATTTTGCTTTAAAAGAACTGGCTTCACATTGAGACCATCTTTCATAAAGGCATCCATTTTGGGGGCATTGTGTCAAACAAAAAAGGTTCAATGTTGACAACATCTTTGACATGAAAGGCATTGGTTTTGGGGGCATCAGGGTTCAACAAAAAATAGGTTTCACGCTGAGAATTCAAAAGTCTTTGCTGAAAGGCATCCATTTCGGGACATTTTGCTTTATAAGAACTGGCTTCACATTGAGAACATCTTTCATAAAGGCATCCATTTTGGGTGCATTGTGTCAAACAAAAAAGGTTCAATGTTGACAACATCTTTGACATGAAAGGCATTGGTTTTGGTGGCATCAGGTTTCAACAAAAATAGGTTTCACGCTGAGAATTAAAAAGTCTTTGCTGAAAGGCATCCATTTCGGGGACATTTTGCTTTATAAGAACTGGCTTCACATTGAGAACATCTTTCATAAAGGCATCTATTTTGGGGGCATTGTGTCAAACAAAAAAGGTTCAATGTTGACAACATCTTTGACATGAAAGGCATTGGTTTTGGGGGCATCAGGGTTCAACAAAAAATAGGTTTCACGCTGAGAATTAAAAAGTCTTTGCTGAAAGGCATCCATTTCGGGGGCATTATGCTTTAAAAGAACTGGCTTCACATTGAGACCATCTTTCATAAAGGCATCCATTTTGGGGGCATTGTGTCAAAAAAAAAAAAGGTTCAATGTTGACAACATCTTTGACATGAAAGGCATTGGTTTTGGGGGCATCAGGTTTCAACAAAAAATAGGTTTCACGCTGAGAATTAAAAAGTCGTTGTTGAAAAGGCATCCATTTCGGGGGCATTCTGTTTCAGGCAAAACAGTTTTCAATGTTGAGAACATGCCTGTCATAGAATGCATACATTTCGGGGCGATAGTCTGTACAAAAAAGAGGTGTCTTCGGTCATGAAGGGCATCCAGTTGGGGGCACTATGATTCAGCCAAAACGGGCTTCAATGTTGAGACCATGTCTGCCATAAAAGGCATCCCTTATCCATTTTTGGGGCGCTAGTTTTCCACGCAAAAAATGTTTCAATGTTGAAGATGTGTTCGCAGTTGGGGGCTGGGGGCCAGTAGATTTTTACAAAAATGGGCCACCTTACGGCAATCACATACAAGATCCTAGACTGTTTTCAAACGAAACCACCGAAATCCCTGCGCTGGCACCCTGCAAAATGGAAGTCACCCTCATGATCTACGTCGATTGCAAATCCAAATATGTCCGAATGGTGACCACATTCCAAAGCCAGAGCAAGACCGAGAGATGTTTGAAGGTTGATCAATGCTCTTGGGTGCAACTCCACAAACCTCATGAGATTCAGCAGCCTATGCCCAACTTCCAGGTCCATCCCACTTCGTCTCCTGCCAAAGGAACAGCGGCCTCTGGCAGATCCGCCATGGCCCGGCGCCACATCACAGACTCAAAAGCGCTGCCGGACTAGTGGATGAAGTGGATTTTAAGATGTTTAAGGCACAAAACTTCTGGATGTCTTGACTATTTACAAATCCTGACATGCGTGACCGGCTGAAGTATAGCTGTTAACAATCATGTTGGATGTAGGAAATTTTGGGCTCCACAGGCACTTCCTGACTCCAAAGTTTCACTCATAACTAAGCCTCTTCCAAGGAGGAAACAAATCAGGTTTTAAGTCGGAGGAGAAACCTCCCAAGCCCTTCTTTCGAGGTCGCTCGGACCTGGCCAAAGTTGGAAGATGTTTCAAAATTCATTGGGAACCAATCCCGGGTCTTATTGAGACGTGCGAATATAAAGGAAGTTTGGCACATGAATAGAGATAGGTTGGCCAAGAAAGTTACAGGCACTCACTGCCTCACTGGCAAAAGCTTGAACACCAAAGTCGAACGGTTGACGCATGACCAGAAGCAGCTGAGGTTGCCAAAAAGACATAACACATGACACATAAATCTAAATTATAAAAAACAAATCATTGTTTTTGCGCCAACAATTGCTGGGCAACGTCATCAGAGGCCCTGACCTTGTGATGGACTCTGGAAGTGATCTGATCCACGGCGCCAAGTCTGCAGACTTCGAGTACTGTGGGGGTCGAGACGCGCCCTGTTTGGACAGATTTGCTATGATTTGCTTGGTAATTCGAAGCTCCGATTTCGGGTTCTGTAGATCTCAGATGATCTCAGTGAAACGGGAGATATTGATAGATGATAGCTTGCGGCTCAATGCGATGCAGGGTCACGGGCTGGAAGATGCTGATATGCCTGCGAGTCAGTGGAGACTTGGTGGAAAATGCAGAACTTCCTAAAGTGAATCAACCACAAATCCCACAGGCATACCAATGCAATTTGTTGGAAAAATGTTGCTATACTTCTGGGAGAAGCTGGCATGCGAATCCATTCCCAAACCCAAACTGCAACAAGTTGGGCAAAAACTCAAACGTCTCTTTATCGGTCAAACATGTTCTGAACAAAATCTGAATTGCAGAACTTTGAGAAACTCAAACATGCTTCCACTTGCTGCCTCAGAAGCAAAATCCTTGACAGTGGGAAAAAGACAAGGCCACAGGCCAGCTTTCCATCAAAATAATCCAAACATCTTGGTAAAGATTGAAACCGATTCGAGCATGTCGCCTGTGAATGTCTTGGAGGGAAATTTTGGTCTCACACGGCCTTTAATCAATTGGCCCGTGCTGTCGTTGGAATCGCTCCAGGTTGCGGCGACTCGCTCGGGTCTCTGCGTGCTCCGGCCCATGCAGCTCCTGCAGAGAAGGCGGCACCGAGCGGGCTGAAAGTTTTGCGGATCTCGGGGTGGGGAACACATGTGTTGGCAGGGCTCAATGATTTCACGCTCGCGCCAGCGGGCAGCAAGCCTGAACTTGCAACACCGAACGCCATGATACCGAAAGCAAAAAGATAGGAAAAATTACAGTATCAGATTATCAGATCAAAAATTGTTCTTGTTGCAAAGTCTAGATGCATGAATATACAGTGAAGACGTCCATTGATGGAATTCAACTAAAGGCGACCAACACTTTTTGTCGGACATTACTTTGGGACTCCAAAATCCACGAGCAGCGACTACCACCTGGACCCAGATGGTGTCTGGGTTTCATCATAGCCTGGAGCCGTCCAAGGTCAGCCATCGACAGTTCCCGTGTGACCCTGGCAGACGCCTCCAGGCCACGCAGCTCGCGGAGATAAAGCTGCCCTGCCTAGACGTGGTGCATGGCAGTGGGTGGCCACCAGGGACCCAGGCTGATGACCTTGCAACCGCATCACTTGGAACTTGCAATATCTTAATACCGGTTGGGTATACCCAACCAGAATGTCACAAAACCTCGTCTCTATAGAAAGCATTTATAAAAAGAAAACAGAATAAAACATCATCTTTCGAATCTTGACAATACTCTTGCCAAGACTAGTGAGATCTCCTTTCAGGAAGGCGTCGCTGTTAAACCACTTCTTATCTTCTTCAACTTCCACCAACTTCCCACCTTGACATCCCCTCCAAGCAG